TGTTGGCATTTACTCACCCATATTTGGCCGGAACAATTACCCTATCTAAAATTTTATTTACTTAAACATTTTAATTGTAGTGAATTCTATGAAAGATTTTGGTAAGTAGACCAGTGTAACGAACTATTTTCTTCTACTATCACTCTAAACAGTTCATTTGAACTTGGATCATTACGAGAAAGTAAACTATTAGCCGGATATTTCATGTATTGGATATCAATACTAATCTTTTCTTTACATAGAATTCTATTCAAAGAAATAGTTTAGATTCAAGATTCAATCATTTAAGGATTGTCTGTATGATATCATTCAATGACTTCATTGAAGATCAAAGTTGACTACTCTATGATGATGTAGATTGTTTTAAAAGAACGATCACTTCACTCATGTCAGTATTCTGATGTACATGTTGTTATATTACAATTCAGTGGTTTTTATAACTGATAATACTGTGGTGTATGCTACTGATCTCGACAGATATATAAGTAGTATGTATCATCAACCAAAAGTGAAATGCCTGTAGAAAAGAGAACAAGACCAAAGAATGATTGGTGTGAAATCGAAAGAACAATAAAGTCTGAGACGATTAATTGACATTTTGCAAATTAAGTATTCAATGTATGGTTCTCGGATTTTACTAAGAGATTCTGTAATTTTGTATTCAACTACATTTGATTATACCCCCATTTGTGTTCTTGTTCACTGCAATATAACAGATCAAACAATGAAAATCATTCATACGATTCAACCGTTTGAATATACATGAATTCATATTTGTAGTGTTAAGGGATTGGTCCACCAGGGCGCTAGGTACCTGTGTCGTTGCACCACAGAATTGAGCTGTACTATTCAGATTGTAGCGTTCAAGCCTTTACGGTCTCTGGTTCTCCTGTGAAGCGGGATTGAGCTGTACTGTTTTGGTTGTCACGTGAAAGTCTGGATTGTGTCTGGTTCTCCTGAAAACCAATGTCAAATTACCCAGGCCCACAAGGGTATATTATATAATGTTAAGGGATATGGTACACCACTACCGTGACTTAAAACAATAGTGTGTATTGAACAGAATTTGTCTAGTAATTCATCGTGTTATGTTTATACCAGGTATACTTAGTTTGATTCTTCAATAAACATAAAAATACTACTTTATTAAGTAATATGTAACGCTGCAAACCAACTGATGAATGTTTTATTCTCGTTGAGATTTATTGTGTCATACAACATGGAACGAGGTCCTCAATGACTGAATAGTAAATTTTACAGTTCATTATGATGCACATGGCCAAGGGAGGATTAGAGGTTGGACGAATCGTTTTGGTATGCAAAGTTCTGGCGTAAGTTCGTGGATTACCAATGCTTCAGCAATGTCTAAAATATTGATTCGACTTTCTTTCGATCTAATTCCTTTGACTGTGTAGATTACTTTAAAAGATGATTCCTATGGATCAATAAGTCTATAGTTGGTTAAATGATACAGCTTTTATTATTATGATCTTTATGTTTGTCATTTCTTCTTCAAATCTGTCAATTGAACAATTATCAAGATCCGTAAATTATTTTCGCCTTTATATTCCTTCCTTATCTCTTCATTATTGTGTAACTACATTTGATAATAAGAGTCTCACATCAGTTTATCATGTAATCATCTCTATTCTTCTATAGACTCATATATTTTACACAATAACTATAAATACGAATATATATACAACTGTTATATCCTAGTGAAGATCAGTTTACGGGTACCTTCTGAGAACTATTAGTTTATTTAGTCATTTATTTGAACACATAAATATTGGTACAAGAGGGCACCAAATATACATGCGCCACACTTTTGTGTTATGGCTGTGATACTGTCCGGGTGCCCAGACTGAAGCAGGTGGTTATCTAAGGGGGCCACACTCCGAGCCTTTGACCTAAAAGTCTAACCCACAAGGCAGTGGAGCATCGTGAAGAGATGCAGTCCCATGGTAGCCGGTGGCCAAAATTGTTTCATACGCCATTTATTCATGCAGGATACTGGATCCCACGTGCACCATTGGTTTGGAATCCGGTTAAAGCGCCAGACATTCGCTTTTCGTCCTCTCATTTTCGTATACAACACACCCGCCACGAGAAGGCAATGAGTAGGACTTCCCTGGCAGAGGCTGTATACGCGTGGCTGTTTGAGAGCATTTCGAGAGGAAGGGCGGGTCCACCCCACTCTCGGCCATACCAGGGCATTTGGGGGCTAATATAATAAATATATTCTTATGGTATAACCATTCAGTAGTTAGATTATGCATATCTATATTCTTCTTGTTATAAGCTTTATTTTGACCTATTGACTATTATCATACGATTTACTGTTCTCAAGTCATGTTCAGTTTATTGATTAGTCTCCCACGTTCACAGTCACTTTCTGGCTTTATCTTGTATAAATGTTATTTCCTATTTTATGGTGTAATGCGGTCTATTTGGCTAGTATATAAACCAAATATGTTTGAAACAAATAATTCGTATAATGGAAGCTGTTATTACCATTCTGGACTCAACTGGATGGGCTAAGTGAGCAATGAACCAATAAAGACGCTAAGCTGATCATACTGATCGAATGTCATTGCTTTGGCATAGTGCCAACATTGTATAAATTCTATTTCAATTAGCGAATATATCAGGTGATAACAAATCGGCTTTCAAGTCACAACAACAACAACAACTTAAGTGAATGATTACGTTGAGAAGAAATAACCTTCTTTATTAACCTGAATCATGAAAGTCATTGATCATTTAAATATCCCGACAAGTTCTCCAATGTTGCTTCTGTTTTTTTTTTGTTTTAATTATTTAGGGAATTATTTAAACATTGTTTTTTAAATTCAGAACAATTAAGGAAAATTCTGCCATTTTGAATTCGGATCAAATTTGACTTCATTATGAATGGGACTATTTAAACAATTGATGAAGTTTGTTTGTTTTTTTTGTTCAATGAAAAGATTGATGATACATTTAAGCTCTGAAATATATTCATATACAAGAAGTGTTTTATATTAGAATGTAATTGAATAATGAATAATTTATTAATGTAGAATAAGAGGGGGTTGTGGATATTAAAATACTTTTAATAGTTAAGATCCTGAAATACTAGATGGCTGCCTCGTGGGATTCAGAACCAGGAGCTCCGATCTCGCGCGCGAACTCCTGACTTCTAGATCACTGAGCGTGCCGACATCCAACGGTGTTATTATCTAACTTCAACTAATCCACGAAATTGAGCCACATGTCCACAATTGTCTGCAGTGAATTACTATTTCACAACAGATCAAAGATCATGGCTTCTCACTAGAACCCCAGGAAATACATCTTGGAGACCGTCATTAGTGAGCATATGATGAATATAATCAGAGAGGGGTTTAGTGAATATTATAGTAATTTATTAGTTGACAAGGGTGACGTAATATCATGAATTGGTTGAAGTTAGACATTAACACCGTTGGATGTCGGTTCATTGGCCTACAGCTTAAGCATTCGCGCGCAAGACCAATAGGTCATTAATTCAAATCTCTCGAAGCGTGATCGTGGTTGCGCACTGCTGAGGGATCCCTTAATAAAATGAGACGGTTATTCAGTGCTTCCAGGTTTTCCGTGGTGATCTAGCTTCAATTGGCTCATGAATTCGACTAATAAAATTGATGTATACATCAGTAATCCGATTAAATGTCAAACCTAACTTTTTTAGAATTGTTCCTTTATTTATAAATTTAATTCTTCCGAGTGTATGACGTCAGTTGTAATAAGATGGTGTTTGAGGTAGTCAACAGGAATCCCTGGGTCTAGGTTTCGTGCTAATTGGCACTCGTCAGCATGGTGTACTGAATGTCGAATCAGCTAGACTGGTGGCCACATTGCAACGTGGTTGATAGGATTCGATCTACACTAAGAAGAACCTGACATACATGACATTGATCACCACCCAGTGATCAGTCAGTTTTATATACATCTCAGTCCTACAGGAGGTCGGTCGTGGCCCGAATAGCTCAGTGATAACGTCTCTGACTGTGAAGTTGGGTGATACGGGATCGAGTCCGTCAGGGCGCATCAGTTCCCTCAAGATTACAGGTAAACCTTGTCGACGAGTGCCAAAGAGCACGAAACCTAGGTCCAGGGTTTCCACTTGACTACCTTCAACCACCATCTTATCTCAATATAGTGCATCCAATGTCAAGTCACCTAGACTGGTGGCCACATTGCAACTTGGTCGATAGCATGTGATCTACACTAAGAAGGACCTGACATACATAACCTTGATCACCACCCGGAGATCAAACTATTGTTAGTTGTAATAATTCCTGGTTGTAAAATATTTACAAATACTTCAATATAAACGAAGTTCCTTTAAGTCCTAGTTTCTGAATATGGTTTTAAGAGTAATAAAATTAATGATTTGTAAAAAAAATCTGTATCTTTTGATCTACGTTCAGTTTGTTAAACTAAATGACTGAAAAAAGTTGGCGAAGATCTGTAGCTCAAACGGATGGTTTTGATGGAGTTTTGTTCGCTGAGTTGAATGGTTTGGTCATACACCTTTCATTGTTCTTCTGGATGACATCATCAGCAAAAATGTCAGGTAGAAGTACTGATGATGTCTTTCAGAAGAACGACGAAAGCTCCACAACCAAACTATTCAGTTCAAAGAACAAAACTACATCAAAATAATACACCTGAACTACAAATCTCCACTTCTGATTAGTGTTATATACTACTTATATCGGTCTACATAAGTAGCACACGTACACTGGCGAACAACAATTAATTTATATCAGAACTATATATGATAACTTCTTTTTTCTCCGACAAAAAGGGATTTAAGATGTGTTGATATCACAGATATGAATATATTCTCCCATCAAAAATAAACACAGTTACTAGGAACATTGAAACTGGAAGAAAATTTCATTCATTTTGATTGCATAATGTTTTATTCAAATACAAATATCGTTTCCATAGAAGTAAATTTAATCATTAGATTATCCTAAAAGAACCATCCATGTGCTGAAACTGGTAAGACAATGTTTTACAAGTTTCCTGTAATTGAAATAAATAAATTGAATTGTGGTTATTAATTACAATGAAAGCATTCAAGGAGTAATCTATTGTTTAGATTAGGTAAACTAAATCATTCGAATGTTATAGTAGATGTTCTGTTATACTTAGGCGATACTAGCAAGGAAACATAGATAACATTATAGAGTTGTTTCATCTAATTATAAGACTCGTCAGTAAGGAATATACTACGATTAAATCTGAAACAGTTGCGGTTTGTGATAAGTGAATGACTAGCTGGTATGCTTAAATACACAGAGCTACAATCTTCAGAAATTGATTACTTTATCACAGAATTTATTCGCCTTGATATTCTAATTAGTAAAGTTTAAACTAAAGGACGAGTTTACTGTGCGGCAGCTTGTTCCGTCCTAATTTATGGTAGTGAAACATGAACGGTAAGGGTAGAGGATATTCGTAGGTTACTAGCATTCGATCATAGGTGTCTTCGAAGCATTGCTCGTATATCCTGGGACCACCGAGTAATTAATTCAATTGTTAGGTAACAGGTACTAGGTAAGAATTGCAAATCAATTGATGAAGTAATGAAACCTCACCAGATGAGGTGGCTGGGAAACGTCCTACGTATACCCAACCACCGAATGCCCTGATGTGCGATGCTTCATGATGTAGGAGTAGGATGGAAGAAAGCTAGGGGCGGCCAGAACAAAACATTGCACAAATACATGAAGTCACTGACAAGTGAACTGAGCTATGTTGGTGGGTGTAGACTACCTGGTTGGGATCCACGAGGTGATAGCAACCGATGGTTAGAGACCTTGAATGACATGGCTCAAAATCGCTTGCAATGGCGCAGGTGCATCCACTCTTTGTGTTCTCCCAAATTCTAACCTTCTGACTTCTTCATGTCCCTTTCTTTTTTCCCTTTCCAAATTTATTTCACTGGATTAAACTCCTTGAATAACATCTCCAAGCACTAATCTTTTCGATTACTGTTTATACTCTTACTACCTGTACCACCACGGGATTTGAATCGACCACTGCATCTCTGTGCTATTGTGGTATGACAATTTGAACTGATGTAGGTATATACGGAATTCTTCGTTGTTACTGACTGACTGACTGACTAACCAACCTAAACTGCTCACTCAAACTACTAAAAAACTTTATCCATGCTAAGTGAAAACTAAATTCAGTTGTGGATCATTTAACACCTTATTGTATTTAAAATACAGAATTGAATTTGACAATCTTTTTGGGTCACCTAGGCAACACCGGCTAGTAGATGTGTTGATGTGTATAAGGTTTTAATACTTGTTTACAAATCGATAAATCAATCTATTTTTATGTTGCCAATATTTTGTGTAGTTTAGCATCTTTAAAAACTTCAGTTTGTTTTTTTTCTTCTCAAATTAGATAATAATATTGGAAGTAAGAGTATAATCTGTTGAAATAGTACAGATTTATGTCAGTCAGTCAGTTTCAACGTAGAACCAGACACATATGTGCATCGGTCCAAGTTGCTATCCCTCATTAGCACAACAAATAGAACACTGGATTCATAGAAACAGTTAATTCAGTGGTCGTGATATATAAAAGAAAGATTGTGTATAGGGGTATAGTACAGGAAGAAAGAATTTGTTCGTAGAAAGAAATATATGAAACGATTTTAATCTAATATTTTAAGGGAACACAGAAAGTATATACGCCGACACCACTGTGATGGATTCTGAGTCATGTCACCAAAAGTCTCCAACCATTGGTTAGGATAGTCACGCGGTACCCAACCAAGTAGTCTACATCTACCAACTTGGCTAAGACTGGAAGTTAGTAACTTCAAGCACTGATGCCACATTTTGGTTAGGCCGCGCCTAACTTTCTCCCAACCAATCCCAACACCAGTCAGCATTGTGCGTCATGGTAATCTGTGTAGAAAACTTTAAATATGACAGTATATCCTCATTTCTTATATTTCAGGTGAAGTTAATTGTTTATTTTATAGCTAAGGAAATATCATGTAAATGTACAGTTGCTTGAGTATTAGTTTACATTATAATGGAAGATGAACATTTTACTACTGGCTATTTTGTTAGTAATATATATAATTATTATCAAAAAGGGGTTTCATGGATATTATAATTGCAATTGAATAGTTGAGTTCATGAGCCCACTAGTCATTGGCTTCAAAAGGAATTTCCTAGAGTTTTAGTGAGAAACCATGACCAGTGTAATTCAGTCAGGTCTGTTGTGAGATAGTTACTCACTGAAGACAATGGTGAACGGTGGCGCAATTTCTTGCATTCGTTGAAGTTAAATATTAACACCGTTGGATGCCATCTCAGTGATCTAGTGGTTAGGAGTTAGCGCGTGAGACTGATAGGTTTCAGGTTCGAATTCTGCGAGCGGTATCGTAGATGCTCACTGCAGAGTCCCATACTAGGAATTCCAGGTTTTCTATGGTAGTTTGGCTTCATCTGACTCGTGATATATATAAATATAAATTTGCAAAATTCTTCAACATTCATTTAAAGATTTATTCTTACAAGAATCTCTCTGTTGAAGTCCTAAAGTAAGTTTAAAATAAAATTACAATTAAATTGATGATAGAAAGTATAAAACATTCTTTTTTAAAATAATATAAAAAAATCTAAATTGTGATGATGAGCCAGAAGTGAACTCGAGGAACTTTTAAGAAGCTCAGAAAGAGCCGAAGATATTGCATTCAATCATCTTTTGGGAGAATATTCCAGAATCCTTACCTGTAATCAATCAAAAGTAAATGATAAGAATCTACAGTCGAATCAGATTAGGTCCTAGTTCTTCTCGTTTAATATAGTATGTTAAGAGTCTTTCAAGGAAGTTGAAATCAATCGAAGGGTTCAATATGTATAGAATTTAAACGTGAGAATGTGAGACCGATAGGTCATGGGTTCGAATTATGCAGGCGGGAACGTGGATGCGTACTCCTGAGGAGTCTCATGCTAGGAAGAAACTTCCGTCCACTGTTACCGGGTATAGGTGATAGTAATTCATAGAACTACAATTTGACTACCTTTAAACTAAGATATCACATGAACGTTTTTTCTCAAAAATAATAAACATTCAGGAACTGTTCAGTGAATCAAACTAAGATAGAAAATCAAAACAGGAGAGACTATAATTTATGAACGAACCAATCAGATTTAGGATAACAGATCTTGGATTTTAGCTCGAATTTCATTTATTCATTTGGCTAAATAGCGTCTTGGCATTTTAGCTGATGTCAGTTGGTGATAAAAAACTGAATCATAATCTTTATTCTTTAAACTGCTACTATAACCGTCATTTAGCTCTGGTAACTAGGTAGAAACTCTCAAGATCACTTTGGTGTCACTCAAAGATCATCCGTAAATTATAGTCTCACCTATTTACCTATTAAATTCACATTATGTAATTATATGATCAACATACGAATTGTCCACAACAACAAATGCTGTTTAATAAAAGAAAGAATAATGTTTTATGAATTACAATCATCAATGTTACATAGTAATATAACCAACGTATTGCATACTAATGAAACTATTGTCAAACACTTCAAATTCATGTTTACTGCATTCAAATTTCATTCTGCACTTGGTTGGTTGTTTTGTCCCAGTGTGGGACTCTTCAGCAGTCCTCACCCAGAATTCGAATTCAGAGACTTCGGTCTCAAGTAGTAGTTTTGCAGTCCGTATAGAATCATTCATAAAAACCTTTATAAACATTTAAATTCTGAATGACAGCATGTTAGTTAGTATGTAATTTTAAGATTCTACGATAGATCATGTTTGTCTTTAACATGATTTAATTATATTTCTGACAGAAGTAAAGTAACATCAAACTATAGTTATGTGCAATTCCTTAGATTGTCAAAGTTTACTACATAGATTAATAATGATACGTTTGGAAAGATGAGCGAATTGCTGGAGTACAACGAAGTCAAGTATCTAAGGTTTGTAAAAAAGTTACTTCTGAAACTATCTTCACTGCAACTAACTTCTAGTTGTTTTATCTTGATATATAAATCGCTTGCAGAAACTGCTGTATGAATCGCTACACAGTTAACAATTACAGCAAATGTGGTTTTTACACTCTTTGTGACCTCATAGTCCTCATTGTGATTAGCGACAGTCATTATTAACTTTAAATAAAGCTACCAGTTATCATTTACACTACTAAATTTTGTAGTTGACCTTTATGTTATAACAAGTAGCTATTCTCACAATATTTGGGCGTCGAGTTAATGTGAGACATTGAAGAGAAATAATGTATTTGTAAAATCTCAGCGAAAGAATTTGAAGTAAATCCAACGTTTCGCCTGACAATCTGGTCCAAGCTTTTTTTTTCCTTGAAAAAAGCTATTCTATTTCCAGTTAAACAGACACCTTGATTGTCACAGTTACTCCATGAGTTGAGCTTTGTAACCGATTTATATATGAGCAATAATGATAGATCCCTTCACTAGATGAATTGTTGTTCTGAACCTAGAATTTCACGAGAACTTTAGCTATGCTGTCAGACAATTCAACAGACTTATAACCACCTAATGATTCAAATATCAACTCATAATCCAATAAGAAAGTCAACAATGAAAGCTTTGTTATGCGTTCTTATAGATAATTAGAGACAAATCAAAACATAGTCTTGGATGGAAAAACAAAAACCTTTGATAAAAAAGATTAGTCCATCATCTACATTTATTATCAGACTAATAATGAATTCTTACTTGTAGGGGGTTTCTTTTTGACTAAATCAAATTAAACGATAATTATCAGTTTGAAATTGTGAAGATTGTTAAGTTTTTGGTTGAGATCATGAGTCGATTGATGTTAGACCACCATTGAAAATCTGGAGGCACTAGACGGCCAGTTCATCCTAGTATGAGTCTCCTCCACATAAGGGAATCGAACCAAGGATCTTCGGTTTAGCATGTGAACGCTTAATTTCGAGACAACTGAGCCGGCATCCAACGGTATTATTATCTAACTTCATCCGATTCATGATATTGAAATGAAATAATTGCGACACTTTAAATGTTATACATTAGGTAAATGTTTCAGTATAGTCTTTAACTATTTAGCTTATATGTCGTATCTAAATTGGGGATGTTCCAGATTTTCAGGTTATAACTACTTAGAGTTTTTTTTAGAATGACTAAATATACAACAAAGTATGATTGGTAGCATCAAGAATAAGCAAACCTAGTTCATCACGTTAAGGATTTGTCAATTGACTAGTCTTAAAACCTTGCCCTTTCTGTAATATGTATACTAGTATTATTGTTAGAAGGGGTTTTGTGGATATTGTAATCATTTTAATAGTTGAGATTATTAGCCAAATGACTGAACGGGCGTTTCATCTTAATGTGGAACTTCTCAGCAGTGTACATCTACGATCTCGCCTTACGGGATTCGAACCCATAGCCTAACAGTTTCGCAAGAGAACGCTTAACCGGCCATCCTGTGCTTCCAGGTTTTCCATAGTGATCTAGCTTCAATTGACTCATGATCTAAACTATTAAAATTAATATTATCGTGTATACTATTTATGTTGACAGATAGATGTGGTATTTAACACGAATCAGAAGTGAAATGTTTGATAGTAGAAGATTGATAAGATTAGACCGAAGAAAACAAGAAGAGAAACAATAAGCAATCTTAATAACCATAGAATGGAAAGTATCATGAAGCATATAAAGGATAACTAAAGAAAGATGTACAGATAATGCATTTTAATATATAGCTCTTGTATTTTAGGAACGTACTCTGTAATTGATTAGTTTTCCTGACGATTAATTTAACGAAAACTAACTTATTTAGTAGCTAACTGTCTCTTCTAATCCAATAGAAGTAAAATATGGTAAATATTTTCAATTTTCAACTCCATCTGTAGTTCTTCTAGAGTAACTCCCAGTCCCAAACCCAAGTAAAGGAGGAGAGTTGAGCATGAGGTTGACAATTTCATCCCGTTGATCTATCACTTTAGATATTTACTCTTCATAAGTTTAATGGTATAGATGAATACCGATTGGTTAGATAATACATCACTATAAACACAAAAATTAGATCCACCCTGAAGTGAAATATGAAAAGTGACGTAATAAAAATAACACATATTTCACTTACATGCACCTCGAATATTTTCTATGAAATGAATTTTGTATAACATATATTACTGATAACATACTACTCATAAATTAAATCAATTATTGAATGGTAAATCTTATAAACTGTAAAGATGGATAGTGGCTAACAGTAGAATCCAGTTTGATGCGCGTTTCGCTCTATTTGAGACTCGTCAGCTGGGTGTATCTGCATCCAAGAGTTGATGACCACTCCGGGACTACAGCTGACGGTTCCCAAATATGACGAAACGCGCGTCATGGACTCCATTGCTAGGCACCATTCATGTTTGCTCGTAATTTGAGGCTATATTGAGGCAATCCGTACAGAATGCACATATGCCAATAAGAGACTGATCAATTGCAGTGCTAAACATCAATCGCAACATTCAAATAAACAACACAACGTAAATTTAAACTTGACCATATTTCACAAGCCACTGGCTATCAGGACTCAGTAGCTAGGTGGAGAACACGATGGCGTTCGAAGCAAATGGTATCTCATTTGAGTCCTAGAGTGTATATATAGACTGTGAGATATATGCCAATAAGTGACTGATCAATTACAGTCATAAATAACAATGGAAAGATACATCTAAAACAACATCAAGTAAAAACGCACCATGTATACTAATCAATACGATAATAAAGTTAATGGATTAGTTCGGTAATCTTTACGAATGCTCATAGGTAAAATTGGAAATGAATACAGAATTTCCAAATAGTAGTAAATCAATCAAAATTTATCATTTTAGTATTTTTCTAGTTGAGAACAACTGTGAAGTAGTAACCATCTCTACACATTTGAAATAATTCAGTTAAGTTAAGAAATGGTAACTAACACATTATTTGTTTGTCATAAATACTTCATTAATTTATATAATAAAATGGCCTTGTGCCTTATTATTATATCACCTGACGATACCGCCAATTAGAGGACAGTAGACTGTCAACCAAGCCAATGTTGCATAAAATCTGTACGAGCAGTCTAAAGTCTTTATCGGTCCCGCTTCCTGCCTAGCCTTGCTTGCATATTCACTCCAGAACACGAATCTTAGCCTCCGTGTTATTAATCATGTATTTCAAACATACTGGGTTTATATCCAAACAAAACAGATCACATCACATTTGTACAAGATCTAGTCAAATGTGTCTGTGATTGTGGGAGACTGTGATTAATAGACTGGGCATAATTCAAGAACGATGAATCGTATAATAGTCGTTTATGGATGAAAATAAAGCTTATTATATGAGGAATATGAATATGCATAGTTTAGCTACATAACAACAACCGAGTAAAAACATATTTATAGCATTAGCGCATAGATAGATCCTAACAGTTGCCATTCATTATTCTCATCGGGATATAACAATAGTGTATTGATGTTTCGTTAGCTAATCATAACTTTCTTTTAATTAAGCTAATTATGTAACAGATACTTGTATTTAAATAAAATTCTTTATAATTTTCAAGCTGAGGAAGTTCATATGTAATAAGCTAAGTAGTATCATTATGAATTCACTGATTGAGAATTTATGGGTATTCAATACTCCTGTTATATTATCGTGTGAGCTACTTATACCCATATAAGTAGTATATAACGATGCTTATAATTTGAATGTATTTCAGTAGAAAATTGAGAAGGAAAGGATGTGAACGGTGATCAATTGATATGAAAAATTCATGAACAATGAAATCTGAGACGATGGAATTATATTTGCACAATGAACAGTCAAGTTTGATTGGATTGATATTTGGCAAATTAACTATTTACTGTATGGATCTCAGATTTTAGTGAGATGTTCTGTAACAGCCTTCTGTGGGAGAGAACAAACCAGCTTCCAGCTGAAGAAGAAATTAGGAAAACACGATGGAAATGGATAGGACATACATTACGCAGATCATCAAACTGCATCACGAAGCAACTCCTAACTTGGAATCCTGAAGGGAAGCGGAAAAGAGGAAGGCCAAAGAACACATTACATCAGAAAATAGAAGCAGACATGAAAAGGATGAATAATGATTGGAAGGAGCTTGAAAGGATTGTCCAGGACAGGGTTGGATGGAGAATGCTGATTAGCGGCCTATGCTCCTCCATGAGGAGCTTTTTCAATACAATATTACTAATAAACATTCATATATATATACATATAGTTATGACAATAAAGGAACTTACTTATTTCAATGGAAGTTATTATAAACAGTACAATTAGGCAATATTGTACAAAGGTACTCATAATTGTACAATGAATTACGTAAGGAACTAATAGACTGAAATCATCATAAGAAACCTGTTTTTATTATTTGTCAATTCGAAATAAAAAAGAAAAGAAAATGAATCATCCATACGTGTGCGGGCAGTGTGTATTTGGGGGGTACTTTTAATAGTAGTTACACTTATAGTGAATATGATCCACTAGAATAATTTAAAACTACATAAGTGTTATTCATGGTATGTAATGATGGAGATTATTACATCGTACAGAACACTTACATAGATTATTAAAGTATCTTCAAGAATATGTTAAATCTCAATCTAATGGATAGATTGATTGATGTATTATTGTGTGATGAGTTAATTTATGTAAACCATTGTATCATTTATAAACAAAACATATGGTGAAGATATGTAGCTCAGATAAATGATTTTGATGAAGCTTCATTCCCTTATTTAAATAGTTTGGTTATGGAGTTTTGATCGTTCTTCTGAACGACACCAAACCATGCAGCTCAAGGAATAAAGCTCCATCAGAAACAAAACGTGTTACTATATTATAAGCCAATGATTATAAACAGATTCATTTTTGATCAACTAAAACATGATCATATATATAAATCTGTAGGTATTTCATTGAAAAAATTATCATTTTGATAATTCGTCTATCAAAAATTCTATTACGTTTATGTAATAGTTGAAATCATGAGTCAATTGAAGCAAGACCACCATGGAAAACCGGGAAGCAATGGACGGTCGTTTCGTCCTAACGTTGGCCTCCTCAGCAGTGCGCATGCACGATCCCGCCCCCCTCCCAGTGCTTCCAGGTTTTCCATAGTGTGCTAGCTTCAATTGGCTCATGATTTCAACTATTGAATCTTCTAAAATCTTCACAAAACCCCTTCTGATAAAATTTATGTAGCATGAACTCATCATGCTTAAGATTTTTTATCGCATTTTTTACACTACTTCAAACATTTTCAGTAGTTCATGTTATGCTTCAACCATCTTTATTGGCTTTAAACGTTATGGTAGTGTCATTGAATAAGAAAAAGAGAATTCAGCGAAGAAAATTTTCTTTTCGACGAAATCATTTACCTAAGCTGTACATTCGTATATATAGTTATATGGAAAATGTATATCTATATAAGGATAGAATGGATTGATTATTATTCAGTCTATTATTATGACCTTTGTTGTTTTGTCGTTTTTCTTCATATCTGTCAATTGGACTATTATCTGACCCTTAAATTTTGTTCTTCCTTACCCCTTGATTAGTACGTTAACCTCATTTGTTATTTATTGTCGAATCCATTTTTTTGGATACAATCCATTCTATCCTTATATAGACATACATTTTCCATATAACTTTATATACGAACGTACAGCTTAAGTAAATGATTTCGTCGAAAAGAAAATTTTCTTCGCTGAATTCTTCTTTTTCTTATTCAATGACAATATGGGTTATTTTAATTATCCGTTATGATAGTATTTTTTTGGTGTGATAAATCATCTATTCCATCCATTCATAATCTGGTTCTAAACAATCTTTTCCATTTTCAAGGGTGTTTATTGAACATCTTAGAAGGCAGTCCTTTTGTTCTACAAACTACATTTTATTATCAGAAAGGAGATTTATGATGATTTAGTGGTTGAGTTCATGTGTCAATTGAAGCTAGACCACCATAGAAAACCTGGAAGCACTGATCAACCGTTTCGTGTTAGTATGAGACTCCTCAACAGTGCACATCCACTACGTTTTAACATTTCATTCATTAGCTAAATTGTAAAATTAATATTCTTTCTGAATGTTTATGATTAAATTATGGACTACTAGCATCACATAATTCGAGCTCTGTAAATTGTTGATGTTTACTTCCAAATATCATATAATATTTCAACTGGATCTAATCTACTTCTTGAGGGCGTTAGATTCCCAGAACTCACTTGAAAAAAGTCCTAAATTTTTTATTTTATTCTGAAAATTTGAATTTTATGTTTTCGCGCCAAGAGACTCTTAGTTGACCTACAGCTTATATTTCCCACTCGGAAATCCTTGAATGTCATTGGCTGACGGATTGTTTTAGTATGTTGTTTCGTGGCTCTCCTAAGGGCATTTTTAACATCGTATAAATTAGCTTGATTTGTGTGCTCAGTGACCTCGTATTTTCTGGGTGCTTGTAGGATAAATTCTCTACGCCAGATCAAGACTTCATGATCTAGTTATCAGGGCCGGTACAACGGATTAGAATAGCCTATCGTATCACTGTATCTTCGACCTTCATTCCATTTACCGAGTAAGATGAATTCGTAATAGCATTCAAGCATATCACTATTACATTAGCCAACTTCGTATAACTAAGTGGTTAGGCTAAAATTTCTAAATGGGTGTTGTGTATACCCTTAGTCGCTAAGATTTTGGCTAAATCAAATAACAAATTGGTAGCAATGATGTTTAAGAAACATGTTCGTTTCAGTTTGATAAAACGATTGAGAAAACTAGAACTTGTCATAGTTAACACTTGCAGGATGCATATCTTAATGAGGTATAACAAAGATACAGACGTTTAAGTTAGCTGTATTCTAGCTAATCCCGATTTCTAAGTTTCTCATTATATGTAGTGTTGAATACCCAGTTATTTTCATTTTCAAACTATATCTCTTGTGTTGAAAATGGGCATAATTCTCTTTACATTTAGGAAAAACAATAATAATAGGAACAATAACGGAACCTAGCACACAACATTTCGATCACGTACTGTCTCATCGCCCTTGGCAGATCGAACAACCCGAGAACACCATCAGGGCTTATGACAAGCTAGGTACTCCCTTTACACTTTTGCCTTTGTTATATTCCAGAAGCATTTAAAATGGAATTTGTACCTCATTAATGACCTTGAACTACATTATTTGTCACGTTCATAAGGTCTTATTATTATGTAAGGCCATAAAGTTTAGACACTTGGTTGGATAATATCAATAAAATGTGATATTCAGTGATCTGATTTGTTAACTAAAATATTAAAGAATCATGGAAAATTCATCATACATCATTATAGATTTTCTAGAAGTTAACATGTAGTTTAAAGAAAAAGCTGAAGATTCTGTTACATGTTAATCCATAATATACAAATCTTCTACATATGAACAAAATAGAATGGTTGAAGTTAGATATTAACACCAATGGATGCCGTCAATTTCGCTGGTTTAGAGGTGAAGCGAGAGCATGCACGATTGATAGGTCCTCGGTTTGAATCTCGCGAGTCGGGATCGTGGATGCGCACTGCTAAGGAGGAGTCCCATACTACGACGAAACGGTCGTCCAGTGCTTGCATGTTTTCCATGGTGATCTAACTTCAACTAACTCATGAACTCCACTATTAAAATTACTGTAATATCCACAAACACCTCTTCTGATACTAATCATCGTATGCTCACTAATAACTGGCTTCAAGAGATATTTCCAGAAGTTCTAGTGAGAAACAGTGACGTATGGAGCTCAACCGGGTCTGTTGTGAGATAGAAACTCACTGAAGGTTCATGAATTCAACTATAAAATCACTAAAATCTCTTCAAAACCCTCTTCTAATAAAGATCATATTATTAAATATTCCAAATGTTCGACACTTTCATTTCTCTTGAAATAGTCGATATCTTGTGTATAGAGGTGATGGATGTTGAAGTGTTCAGTATTTTTGTTGTTGTTTGAAATTGTTTTTATTTAATTATTGATTGTTTCAACTCGCTAGAATTGATCTAATGATTCTCTTTGCTATTCATTGAATCCATTCACAACAATCTGGTGTCAGGCAAGATTGTTTACTCTCACCCATTCTCTTTCTCCTAGAGATCGACTGGATTATGAAGACGTCAAAATCTGAGGGAAAACACGGGTTCGAGTGGGAAGCTAAGATGCAGATTTATTGTTTCAGTTTGCTAGAAATTATCTAATTATTCTCTTTGTTATTCATTGTATCCATTCAAAACAATCTCCATAGTTAAAATAACTTAGTGTATCATTGAATGAACGTAAAGTGAATCTAGCAAAGATAAATTGGATGCACATAGCGATCACTTTCTAAACGTATCTCAGAATACTGCCCAATCATGACTTTGAAAAGAAGAATGCAAAACAGTTACTTGTTCAATACAGGAGCACTTAATCAACTTTAGAACATATCACTCTGAAGGAGTCTTTTGAAATATTCTACAAACTCAAAGAAATTAATTCGAAGGGAAGTTGACATCAACTCAAGCCCGAACTCTGCGTGTAAAAACGATAAGTCCAACCTCTCATCCCTCCTTGGTCCTAATTCCCCACTGAAGTATTTTTTATTTTTGTTTTTTTCTTCTTGTAACTTTAAATCATAATCAGTTATCACTATCTTTTAACAATTTTTCATGATTACTATTTATTTTTTATTATAACCTTAATATTTTCGTTTTTATTTGCCTCATATCTGTCAAGTTGACAAGTATCTTTCATAATTCTGACCCGTAAATTAGCTTCATCCATCTATTCTTCGCTAACCTCCTGACTATTGAGTAAACTCATTTGATAATAAGAATCTTAATTCAACTTATAATTCAATCTACTTGTTCAAAGTAAAGATCGGCGTCGGGCAAGGTTGCTTACTCTAACCCTTTCTCTTTCTCCTGATAATCGACTGGATTATGAAGACGTTAAAATCTGGGGGGAAGCACGGGATACAGTGAACAGCTAGGATAGAGCTAGACGATCCAGACTTCGCAGATGATCTGGCTCTTCTATCGCATACACAAAAACAAATGCTGGAGAAGACGACCAGTGTAGCAGCAGCCTTAGCAGCAGTAGGTCTCAACATAAACAAAGGGAAAAACAATATTAATCTTCTGCTACGATGTAACATATTTATCTGAAGGAGTTTTGTGGATATTATAGTAATTTTAAAAGTCGAGATCATGAGCTAATTGAAGTTAGAACACCATTGAAATCATGGGAGCACTGGACAACTGTTTCGTCCTAGTGTGGGTCTCCTCTTC